GGTTATAATGCAAGTTAGCGGTTCTAAATTCACATTAAACCACAGCTTCATGGGTTTTTTGCTCTGATTTATTTTTGGTTTTGTGCTGGTATTGGTATATTTTGCATGCTAGTGATAGGAATCGATCCCTTGACGTGATTGGTTAAACCATATTTCTGGGTCAGCCTTTGGGAAACTACAGTTTTAAGGAGAAAATACACAGCAATGGTGTTGATTAATAGATTGGCACATGGTTTGTCTAAAAGCATATTAAAAACACCACATAGACAAATAAACAACATAAAAAAACTTGATTTTCACTACAGGGGGACTTTAATGACAGGGCCGCTGTCCCTTTAAGACCTGATGCACGGATCCGATTGTGTGCGCGCTTCATGTGTGTGCGGCTGTGCGCGTAGAGAACAGCGCGTGAATAACGAATCGAGTTCCCTTCGCCTTTCCTCTCTGGAATTGTTTAAAATTCGCTTGCTTGTGTAAATACGAACAAAAGATAAACTTATACTCTATCATGGTTAAATTTTGCAATTAATCCGTGGATCACATGCGTGCCGAACCGTGGGGCTTGGTCTGTACGGATCACAGATCAACTACTATCCGTTTAACCACTACTGTATAGTCCCTTTGGTCTTTGGGGCTGAAAATTTGATGTCTGTTATTTTTAAGAACAAGCTGAAACATGGACTCATCTGACCACAGCACACATTTCCACTGTCTTTTTGACTATCTGAGATGAGCTCTGGCCCAGAGAACCCGGTGGCATCACTGCATTGAATTGATGTGTAGCTTTCTCCTTGCGTAACAGAGATTCAAGTTGCATTTCTTAATACAGCGGCAGACTGTGGTAAATGACAGCGGTTTTGTTAAGTACTCCTGAGCCCATGTGGCTATATTTAACACCCAGGGATGTGATTCTTCCGGAATAAACCAGAATTCCGTTTTTTATTTTTATTTTTTTGCCTAAAATCATGACCCACGTGAATCATGCAGATCAGGGTGATACTGCATGATGATTGAAATGGCGAAATAGCCTTAAGCAGTTAACTAAATAAACTTGCGAAAAGGTTATGTTTTCTAAGACATGGACGGAATGGTCCTGAGAGCGCTGAACGAGCTGGCGGCACCATCTGCAGAACAGTTAAAAGGAGTGCCAAATGCAAGTAGAATCAGCACTGAAACGTGTTTCTTGCTCGGTAACTTTTTATGAGTTCATTTATAAATCTGTTGTTGTTTACAAAGAGAAGTTTCAGTGTCACATGATCCTTCAGAAATCATTCTAGTATGCTGATTTGCTGCTCGAGACATTTACACATTTTTTATGATCATTTATTATTATCAATGTTAAAAATAGTTTTTGCGGCTTTTTTGTGGAAACAATTATACCACTCAAACATTTGTGATTTAAAAAAAGAGAGAGAGAAATTCATAATTGTGTTCATCATACACTAAAGTGATGAAAAGTGAGTTAAGACATTTAAAATGTTTCAAAATATTTTTATTTAATAAATGCTTTAATAAATGTAATATATTTGATTACAAATATTAAATGCTGTTCATTGAACTTCCTATTTATCAAAGAATCCTGAAAAATAAAATGTATCACCATTTCCACACAAAATATGAAGCAGCGCAACTGTTTTCAACATTGATTAATCAGAAATGTTTCCTAAACATCAAATCAAATTGTAATGATTTCTGAAAGATCATGTGATACTGAAAACTGGACTAACGATGCTGAAAATTTGGTTTGCATCACAGAAATAAATTTAATTTTATAATATAGTAAAATAGATTTTTTATAAATTTGTAATAATATTTCACAATATTGAGGTTTTTACATTATTTTTGATCAAATAAATGCAGCCTTGGTGAGCGGAAGAGATTTATCTCAATATCATTAATAATTTTAATGTTTCCAAACTTTTGGCAGGTACTTTAATAATAACAATTCCATTAATACTTTTATTATATTATATTATATTATTATCATGATTATTAAAGGCTGCTTTTTATTTTTACAGGATAATAGTATGTATTATTTAGTGCTGTCAAATGATTAATCACATCCAAAATAAAGTTTTTGTTTACATATTATATGTGTGTGTACTGTGTATATATTTAGAAAAATATGTTTTGTTTATATATTAATATTTATATATAATATAAATTATATATGAATATGTATGTATGTATGTGTGTGTGTGTATATATATATATATATATATATATATATATATATATATAGAT